CTCTTTTCCATATTATCCAAAATATCATATACCATTTGATGTACTAGGATATCAGCAGCTCTACGTATTGGAGAAGTAAAATGTGTATATAAGTTCATATTTAGAGCAAAGTGATTAGTTGGGATGTTTGAATCTCGCGCATCTTTATTATAAACCATATATCTGGCTCTACTAAAAATATCTCGAAGCATTTCACTTACAGTACAGTAATAAAGAGGTCCATAATCCTTATAAAGTTTATATAGGCCATTAACAATATTTTCTCTATTGATGTTATCCTCAAATATATGCTTAAGTCCATGTTTTCTTAAATAAGTAATCAACTGATATAGTTTTGTATTTGCAATTTCATCATGTATTCTGATAATACAACCTGATTCTGGTCTGTTCTTAACAGTGAACTCAGCAGTTACTCTATTAGCTAGTAGCATTAATTCTTCTATTAAAGAATGAGATATAGAGTGATTATAACAAACTGTGATTCTCTTTGGAGAAATTTTTTCCAAGGAATTTGGTATTGGACTTTGGATATCAAATTTTAACTCTATATTTGGAATAATTGAGCTATATTTCATAGAGCTAAATGAATCATTACTTTTAACTAAATTAAATGGTTCAGTAATATTGGTAGGAAATTCACTCTTAAAGTTAAAACAAGGATCAACATTGAATAACTTGATTGAGTCACTTCTATCTTTGGAGTTTTGAATAATGCTAGTTAAAGTCCTTAAAAGCAATAAATCATGTACAATATTTATTCTATTATTTTCTTTTACTGTAGACCTTTTCATAATTTGGGAAATTCTACTGTCTTGGCAATATTTTAACGTGTCCAATTTAGACTTTTTGTTTTTTTTATCAATTTGGTCAACAATTTCAAATAATTGATCAACATCATCATAAGAAAACTTTCCAGTAGATGTTATAATTCCATGAACAAATTCTGGCTCTCCTATGACTTCTCCTTTTTGGTTAACCTTGATAATTACAGATAATGTTGGCCTTTTTTGGTTTGGAAGAAGAGAGCATAAATTACTAGAAAATACACGTGGAAGCATTGGAAAATTAGTATGGGGAAGGTATACACTTGTACAAAGCTCTTTTGTTGTACTTGAAAGTAATTCTTTATGTCTTAACATATAGTAATATACATCGGCAATATGGACTCCAACTTCATAAATCATTAATTCACTATCATATTTAATATGTATTGCATCATCTAAATCTTTAGCAGTTGGTGGATCAATAGTAAAGATTTTATATTCCTTTGAATCAAACTCTCTTCGATTGTTTTGTTTCATCCATTCTTGAGAAGATTTTGAAACATTAATTCGGGTATTTTGATATTTATCATATATTTTCTCATGAGAACCCAGATCATAGCAGTCTAATAAGCTTGAAAAAATAGTTTCAAATTTATTACAAGATCCATAAAACTTGGATATCTGCAATTTCTTGTTTACACTTTTTGAACATATTTTAATTGAAGCACCAAAAAGCAAGTTACAAGGTATTTTGTGATTTTGAATGATATTATTTTTGACAAAGAATTCTTTAGTATTTCTGTTTAGATTTAACCTCATTATTGGGTAAACTCTTTTAATAGGAACGAAACAAAGTTTGTTTTTTTTAATATCAGCACAATTTGAAAATACCAAAGTTCTGAGTTTCGCTTCATTGTCATTGATACCTATTACTTTGAGGCAATTTTGAATTTTTAATTCTTCAGTAGACTTAGAAGAAGGTTTTTTTCCAGATTTTTTGGAATTCTTCTTCATTTTAGCCTCTTTCTCAAGTCTTTCAAGGTATGATAAAGGGCGGATAAAACCTACTATTGGGCTCTTTTTTGTAACTGATTCAACAACTTTAATTATAGTTCCAACATACTTTGGAATTGGATGTTTTGATTGAGAGCTAGACTCAGCTAATAGTTCAGGATGATTTTCAGTATTAATGTTTTCTTTATTTAGACCTCGATTTATATTTGTTGTCGTATATTTGCTTTTCTGGGAGCTATCCAAATTGTCTTTTTTGCAATTATCTATAGAATTAGAATCTTCCAAACTATTAAAATGTTCAAATTGGTCATTAAATTCTTTAGAATTGGAGGTATAGGCAACATATTTCTGTTCCTCCTGGTTACTCTGTAGCGATTTTTTATTTGCCTTTTCTTTAAATCTCCTAGTAAGCCTCCCTTGGAAAGTCTCAGAAACTTTCACTAATACAGTATCTCCATGAATTGCATCTTTTGTACCTTTTTGCCCAAAAATATAAATATCAAACGGGCCATTTACTTGATCATCTACAGTGACAAAGCTTTCCAAAGGATTTGCGACTCTAATAACTCCTTTATAAATGGCAGACTTAACCTTATTCTGAGGAATGCTGCATACAGAACTATTTTGTTTGGCCATTCTCAACAACATAATCCTCAGTAATATTCTATATAGATAAATTAATCTGTTAATTCATTCCATAATTTTTTAGCATTTTGGACATTACCGCGTTTTTTGAGCATTACTCACAAATAACTGACATTTTGGCGCCACGGCCAGGCAATTATTAGGTATCAAATATTGCAAAAAAAAAGATCCAAAAGCTTGTAAGAGAGATAAAACTAAGGCAAAGTATGAAAATAATTGAATTCAGACCTATTAGTTAGTGTGTAATTTATAGTTAAACATGTTTAGGTTTGGGGTAGAATTGAAATATATTAGAGAATTTATTTCTAATTTGGATAGACAAATTCTTCTTCAAGTTTTGTTGTTTATTTACCGGTTAGGATAGTTTTAAGATAGTAAATTTGGATAGCTGAGGCAAGAATTACAGAAATGATTTGAATGGCAGTATAAAAGACAAGTTGACTGTCTGCATTATAAATCATATTTAAGTTGGTTTTTGTGGCAGCCCAATTATATTGGTTTTCTGTATTTATTATACTTAAGATATTATCAACATTTTCTAGCTTTGAAGTCAGTTTATCTACATTTTTTTTGTCGACAGCTTTATTTTTTTTTGAGTCATTACCTACAAGTAGAGATATACGAATAGTATCATGCCAACGGTGATTAGAAAGAATGACAGTATAAGTTCCCTTAATACGGTGGTCCATTTTCCCATCATCTGAACCATCTTCTGGAGGTTTATTATTGTATACTCCTTCACAGCCGTGTCTACTATAAATTCGTTTTGATTCTGGGTTATTGATTGTGACATGGATTCTACCTTGGGTGTCGTCAGTACAATAGTAACCAAGTAGGATGTATGGATTGGCTTCATCTAGTTCAAAATAGAAGTACTCATCGGCTTTAGAATTGAGATCGAACACAAAGTGGTTTGACGGTATGAAAGTCTTCATTTCTCTAAGCCATTCAAGTAAGAAGTTACCCTTTTTAATATCTTCAGGAGAGCTATCAGACTCCTCAATATCAAAAATATGATCTAAATCAATTGCGTCAATACTTTGATCCGATATAGTTGGCTTTTCTAACCTATGTTCGTCATCCCAGTGAGTATCTGTACTTCTAACAACAGGTTCTTCATGTCTCGTTTTTAAAATATTTCCTGCAGAGATCAAGTATAACTTCTCAACAAGTTCTAGAGAAAGTACAATATAAACACACACCTTCAGCAATCCCTTCATTTCCATTTCTTTATTATTAAAATTTTTTTTCTTTAGGTTAATCAACCTCTAAAATTCCTCACTTGGTAGCTTTTGGCGGGCTCTTGGTTTCTGTGTTGACATTTCCTAAATTGTTTTTCCTTATTTAAGATTGATGAACGAAAACTATAATTTCTTATATTACTATATGTAGGAAGTGATTTAGATATCATTAAATAATTATTTATGGCGATAAGCTAGGTATGAAAAAGCTATTATGAATACTATAATAATCAACAATGTATGGAGGCTAAATACAAGATGCCTTGAAGTCGGTGCTTCCGTCGTACATGTGAACTTCAATTTGTCTGCCATCAAAGTATCTTTGATTAAAAATATCGATAACAATTTCAGCATCATGTTGGGATTTTAATTTGACACAAACAATTCCCTGTGGATGTCTAGGAATACATGTAACACTTACTACCTCACAATATTTGGTTACCTCTTCCTGAACTTCTATTTCTAGTTCACTGTAGAAGTCATCCCCCTCAGGGTACATTTCAGCTTCTTTTCTAGAATACATTGGTCTAAGAACAACTATTCTGGAAGCAATGTTGCTATTTAGTGAATGTTGTTCGTTACTCCAAGATAAAAGTCTTTCCTCTTCCATTTCTGCTGCTTTTAGTTGCTTTCTTTTTTTATTAATTTCAGTTTCAGATAATGGAGCAATATTTGATTTGGATGACTTGTTGAATATTGCCTTTTCAATTTTGACTTTAAATCCAGGTCTAATTTCGGTTTCATTTAGGTACTTGAGAGCTAATTCAATACTTTGTTCATATTTATAAACAACTAAAGCATTTCCAGAAAATTCTTTGGTAAGCTCATCATTGTATAATTTAATCTTTGGAGACAAAGTTGTTGGGTCAATTTTTATGATACCTCCCCTACCAAAAAAATATTTCATCTCTTCAAAAGTTATATCTTTTGGAAGCCCTTGGACATAAATAGAGGTGTTTACAAGAGTTCCTTTTGCTTTTTTCTTGTTTAGTTTCTTTATTTTTTTCGAATCCATAGCATTAATAAATTCTATATATAATCTGATTAAATAAAAAGATACAATGGCTTTCTTTTAGACTGAATATCTTTTATTGCAAGTCATGTAAATATAACTTTACATACAAACTAATATAACAAATTAAATTGTGGGAGAATGAAGAATAGGAAAATTTGTAAAATAAAACAATTATCGTTTCAGTGAATTGTCATATGATAGAATCAAAATTGCTAATTCTAAAGCTTATTGTCAAAAATTAATTTGAATTAATTTCTATGGTATAAATATTTTGATTCTAGCGCCATCTCAGTTTATGAAAAACGTTGATTCACAAAAAAGTGGACCCGCCGGGAATTGAACCCGGGACCTTGTGCATGCAAAGCACACGTAGCTACCACTGCACCACGAGCCCCCCGCAACGTTGGACGCATTCCTAATTGCTATCTATTTTTTGAATTTGTTGTAACCAAGCTAAGAATTCATAGCGATTGCAGGTACCAAAATTTAGCCATTTGAGGCCTTGGAGTTGGAGTGCAGTGAGACGTTTTAAAGGGTCTAGCTCTAGGCATCCCTTGAGAAAGGCATAAAAGTCTGGGTTTTTGTGTAAGTGTTCTGGCAAAGGGCATCTTTTTATTATTTTCTCCAGAAATGGTAGTGGCTCTCCATTTTCTGTATTATCTTCACATAAAATATAAACCATGTCGAACAGACTAAGGTTTTTGAAGGGGTGAGTTCCCACAGCTAGTTCATAAATACAAATTCCAAGGCTCCAGATATCACTAGAAAAAGAGTATGATTTACCTTGTAATCTTTCAGGACTCATGTATATCTGGGTTCCAACAAAAGTGGATACATTTTTATTATGGTCTTTAGTAGTATTTTGGTCAATGAGCTTTGAAATTCCAAAATCACTGATTTTTACTGCTCCATCCTGATTAATAAGAATGTTATTTAATTTTACATCCCTGTGTATTCTGTTATTCTGATGAAGATATGCAAGTCCATCTACCATTTGTATTGAGATAAATTTCAGAAAGTTTTCATTGACTCCTTCTGGGGTCTCATTACTTTGAAGATTTCTATTCAAATTTTTATAAAGTATGTCACTTAAAGTACCAAACTCCATGTATTCCATAACTAAACATACTACACTTTTGTTAGGTTTAATAAAAGCACCAAGAAATTGTACTAATAAAGGGCAGTAGCTAGTTAACCTCCAGGAATGTATTTCTGCAGAGAGCTGAGATTGATGCAAAATATCTCCTACATAAATATCTTTTATAGCCACAATTTTACCTGATAATTTATGGATTGCACTAAATACTACCGAACTTCTTCCATGACCTAACGGAGTTGGATTAACCTCAAAATCCCCAAATGATACGTAAATATCTCCAAGACCATAGTCTGACTCAAGACCTTTTGTACCTTCATGCGTAATATGCACACCCGTACTTTTATGCAGTAAAGATACGCCATCCGAAGAAAGTGACCAATCAGTATGTAGAGAATTAGAACCATCAAAACTGCCCTTTCTTTGCTCTTCATTTTCTTCAAACTCAAAACTATCAAGCCTTAATGCACTCATGCTTGTGGGAGTTTGAAATTTAATTTAGAATTAGAAGTTAAATACATTAAAAAGCCAGGAAATATATAATTCAGGATATGAAGTTGATTTGGCAGGATTTTAAATTCTAACCTCCTAATTCAATATTGAGAAAATACCAAACTGCTCATAAATACACATTTACTTTATTTTCATGCCTTTATTAATTTGCCTAATTAACATTTTGGCGCCATCTAGTCTTAACATTATTTTATTATTAGTTAAGAACAAAGCAGAGAAAATAGGGAGGAAATTCAGAAACTATCTAGAACTTTTACTTATTAAATTTAAACAGCTTAGGTTGGCAGATAATTCCCGGAGAAGAGGTAGAACCAATAATTAATTCAGGACAGAATTAGAAGCAAACATATGACTTTAAGAAAGCCGATTGAACTAGATCTATAAGAATACAGTTTATCGCCTTAAATACTAACTTGGCACAATGTATTCTAATAATAGGAGGAAATCTGGCAGAAAGTGCGTCTTAGATACGGATATTTCGCCGGTTTTGGAGAAAAGGATCAGAGCAAAAATTGTTCAAGACAGAATCGATTTAAAAAGCTTAATCGATGAGCATATTGGCAAGAGAAAAGCAATAGAGAATGAGTTCAATTCTGATCCTAAAAGTTTTAATGATGAATCTTTGAGAGAGAGGATCCAAATTCTAGAGAAGATTAGGGCTAATTTATTAAGAATTATTTCAATGAAGAGCGAGGCTTATTACCGGCTTCTAAACAAGGCGGATAATGTTAGACGAGATGAAATCAGTAAGTACGTAGAAATTGAAAACAGAAAGAATAAAGAGAGGGAAAATGACATTCTAGCAGAGAATCTAAAGGATTTTTCATCTAATGTCAAAGATTTGGTTGATAGGATTAACCAATACAAAGAAGATTATGAAAAAAAGAACAAAACAATTCTTCAAGATCCATAACACTTGGTCCAGTTTACAATACCTCGAGGTTATGTTTCTAGAATACCACAAATTCTTTGTTCCAAACTTGGAATTCAACTAAACAAATCCACTTCAAGAAACTGTTGGATGTTAAAACACTTATTCACAACCAATATCTTCTCAAGTTACTCTCAAAATGTCCTAAAGTATTCAAAATAGAATATTATAAATGATATTTTCCAACTTTATATTCCGAATTTACAGTGAATTATTAATCTTTGCTCTATTATTGGCGCCACATTTAGATTACACAAATTATTTATAATAAATGAAGTGTTTCTATGTGCTCCCTTTGAATAACAGTGATGTATTTTCTGATCTTGGTATCCGGATTTTTGAAAGTATATATGAACGTAAATCTTGGGTTCCAAAGCAGATTTCACTGAGTAACATTTATGAAACTGATTTAGACTCTGAGGACTTCAGGCAAAATGTATTAAATTCCATAATTCGTCAGATCTCAATGTTTAACCCCATAAGATATGAAGGCATTTGCCATTTTCAGGATACCTTATATAGGAGGTTTAGCTCTCTCTGGAGAATCTCTGAGCAGCTTGGTGTAATTTTTATTATGGTAATAAATAAGGAGACTTTCTCTTTAAGGGGTAAATCAACTTTAGACTTTGTAGTAGATTGGAGCGAAAAATTTATTCAGTCTGGAAAGGAATTAGTAGCTAATGATATTCTCATAGTTTTACATATATTAGCTCCAGCTGGTCAGCTTCAGCTATTAAATGATGATATTTTATCCAAAATTGAGCTTATGGTTAATAAAGCTATCAGAAGTTATTAAGATTATTGAGATAAATCGTGCCTAAATGAAAAGAAATCTAATTAATTCTCATTTTATTGTATTGGTAATACTCTTAATAAATATATACATAAGGAACTAGTATATTTGGGGCAAAATAATAAGGATTTCCATATGGTGGAACATAAGGATTCCTAGGATAATATGTTGGAATAATATTATTAACAACTTCTGGCTTATGATTCCATTCCGATGTAGATGTATAGTTATAGTATTCATGCTGTTGTAATTGCTGTAAATGTCTTTTATTCTCATTGTTTCTGAGCTTATTTTCTGTATTACTACTTTTCTGGTTATTTGATCCTTGTTTGATATTCTTCTTTTCGGTACCTTCTTCATCTTCATAAGTTGGAAAATGGCTAATAACATTCATGGATTTATCATATAAAACCATAGTTTCATTATTTATTTTAAGTTGGTGTTCTAAAGAAAGATACAAAATCATTTCATCATCTATTGAATAATCAATGGCTTCAACTTGATAACTTCTAAGTACTTGATCATTAATTGGGACTGTTAAACTCATCTTATTCAAAGGAGTAACAAAGAGCCTATTCATATATAATTCTAATACTGATTGATAATGCCCAGAATCATAAGTATGAGCAATTTTATTACTCTTTTCAGAACCATTATCGTATTCAGAAGTCACACTCTTCTCCATAAAGCTGTGCCCATCAGCTACTTTCTGTAAGCTTGGATTGAATATCTCTCTTTCACCAGATTTTGAGGGGAAAACACCTTGGAAATAAACCTGGATAGGATTTCTTCCATTTTTGTCAAAAATTACAAAGATTAAAATCAGAGCAATAGTTGTAAAAGCTGCAACTAACAAGTAAGTCAGACAGTTCTTAACTCTTTTTGAATGTTTTTGCTGGCTCAAAGTTTGACTTTGTTCTTTTATTTCTGGTGATATTTCAAAATCATTATTACGCGTTCCAGACCACATTTTTGATTCATCTTGTGTTTCCTTCATTTATAATTATAATAACTTTAAACTTTTTTCTATGAACAACTTTAAATTCCTGGTAATTTTTTAGTTCGCAAAAATTGCTGATTTCCAAGTTTGCATGCATTTGACTATCAATACCAGACAATGCAGGATGCTCGGATTTTTGTAAAATTAGTCCACATTAAGCCTAAACCTTGGTCGATTAAGGAAAATTAAGCTGCGATTAAGAAATTAGTAAGTCTTAAAAAATGCTCAAGTTCAGAAAGTTTATGGTTGAGTCTTTAAGTTTGTTATTTATAGTATTACTAGTTCATTTAAATGGCGTAAAATCTCAGATTTATGGCTCAGCTAAGGATGTTCTTAGCCAAATAAACACTAATAATTATCCAAATTTCTCTGATCTCACAAATTATCCTTATTATTTACCAGAAAAGGCAATTATTGGGTATGACTCTCCATCTTTAAAGGAAAATATATACAAAGTTGAAGAGTATCATAATAAGAGGGATTTAGATCCTAGTCATTATAAGGAATTTCAGAGACAGAAAGAGGAGTTTAGCGAAATAGAAAAGACGAGAAGAAGGTAAATTAATAATAGCTTGGCAACTCGTTTAAAATAGGTTGCCAAAGAGTCTAATAATTTAACTTTATTAACACCAACTAGAAATCAAGAGGCTTATAAAGAATTTATAAAGCCACCTAAACAAGGACATAAATCCAGGAAAGACAATGTAAACAAAATGATTGTGAAGAAGATGTTGGAATATGAGAAGATGCATTCTAATAGTACAGAGGCTGAAATTAATCACGAATGTATGTTTATTCAAACTAGTTTTTAAAAAACAATAAATAATTATATTCTAGTAATTAGAAAAGTTGAATCTCCTATTGAAGCAGAAAGAATGGGAATATACCCTGTTATAGATGAATTAGAGTGTAAGTTATTATTTTTAACAACTAATAACAATTAAATTCTTCCAGACCTTGATAGAAAAGTGTATAAGTATCATCTAAGAAACAATAATAGAAAGAGAATCCACTATAAAGCTTCAGATGCAAACCATTTGGCATACTTTTATGATGTAAAT